AAAAATACCTATTTCTTATCATGAACTACAATATCACAGAAAAAAAAAAAACCAAAATATACACATTACAGTACTAAACTCTTACTAGATTTTTAGGTTATATTTTTATATGCAATAAACAAAATTATCCTGTTAAATTGCCTTTAGAAGTTTTTAAATCCTGGGCACCTGGGGGGCTCCGTGGTTGAGCATCTGCCTCTGGCTCAGGTCGTGCCCCCTCTTCCCCGGGATTTCGGGATCCAGTCCTGCATTGGGCTCCCCGCAGGGAGCCTGCTTCTCCCTCTGCCTGTGTCTCTGCCTCTCTCTCTCTGTGTCTCTCGTGAATAAATAAAAATCTTTTTTTTTAAAGTGTCTAAATCCTGTTAAATTAACTAAACAATGAGGTCAGTAGACTGAGTTGGCTCTAATACCTTAGCAGCCCATCTAAGCAAAGCCGAACAAACCTACCCCTGTCCATGCCTCAAGGCTAGGACAACCAATCACCCCCCCCACGCCCTCCCCCGCCCCTGCTCCCCAGAAGCACGCAACCACTGAAGCTACAGCCAACCAAGTTGGCGGGATGCTCCCAACCACTTCTGCTTTGGCCATGCCCAACTCAACTCATTTCTTCCTCAAATAGACTCTAATTTTTTTTTAATGGGCCTTGATTTATCCTTTATTAACTCTCAATTTCTGCCCCAGGCTGTGGACCACATGTTGAGTAGCTCTGCTCAGAGGCAATACTGGCTTGAATCTGACCTAGTTTTGAATTCCGCACATTGTGATCCCTGCGTTTCACCCCTTCTTTTCAAAGTCTTACGACCTGTCTTTCAAAAACCTCCATGGTACAAAAACGAAACAAAACAAAACACCTCCACAGGGTGTCCCAAATGCACTTTTAAAACAGCACATTTTGGGGCAGCCCAGGTGGCTCAGTGGTCTAGCACCGCCTTCAGCCCAGGGTGTGATCCTGGGGACCCAGGATCGAGTCCCACGTCGGGCTCCCTGCATGGAGCCTGCTTCTCCCTCTGCCTGTGTCTCTGCCTCTCTCTCTCTCCCTGTGTCTCTTGTGAATAAATAATAAAATAAGATAAAATAATAAAACAGCACATTTTATTGAGGGATCATTTATACACAAGCAACAGTAAGGTTTCCGGGTGTACAATGTGATGGACACGGGCGGATGTCTACACCCCTGGAACCACCACCACAATCGCGGTACAAAGATTCCCTGTGGCCCGCGTAGTCTGTTGGGCCCGGGTCTAGGGCCCAATTCGCACCCCGCTTCCGTCACTAGAGATCAGTTTTGCGCTCTCCTTTGACATGTTGTGATGATTCTGAGATGCATCCACGGTGGGGACATATCGGTAATTTTTCCCTTTCTATTGCAGTACGGCGCTCCCCTTGGCTCCTCCTGGTGTTTCTAGTTGGGGGTTACTGTGGGGCAGGCCTCTGCGAACATCTGTGTATTAGCCTCTGGGTGGACGTCACGTTTCACTTCTCTCGGATAAATAGCCAGTGAGCGGGGTGGCCGGGGCTGTACCGCCAACAGGTGAATGTCGACCGCCAAACCCACTTTCCCACTGTTTCAATCTCCTCCCATTCCTCCTACCCACCTTTGAGCCAAACTGAACTACTTTCTTTTTCTCAGACGCGTCCTAAGATCTCCTGCCTCCGTGCCTTCCTTCAGGTTGATTCTTTGGCCTGCAGCACCCCTTTGCAGATCTTCCCATGTACCTTAGCTGGGTTCAAGCATGACTCCACAAGCCCTCCTTCTCCCTCGTGGTTGGAGGCGACTGCTCCCCCTTGGAAAGCCCCAGAGCCATACCATTCTGTCCGTCTTAGAGCTTGTCTCTACCAGAGCCTAAGGTCCCTGATGGCAGGCTCCAGTGTGGAGGCTCCCCACCCCCACAGGGCCTAGTTGAGTTCCTTGCATAGGGCAGGTATCCGGTGAATGTTGAGTTAAGGAATGCAATGTGTAGGGCATGGCAAGGCCAGCATATCTGGTGTTTGAGAAAAGGGGGGAGGTAAATCACTCCGAGAGGAGGAAGCTAGTGGTGGCCACAGTAGCTCCTTTGCAACAGCCTCATTTGAAAACAGACTCCGGGGCAGCCCTGGTGGCTCAGTGGTTTAGCACCACCTTTGGCCTAGGGTGTGATCCTGGAGACCGGGGATCGAGCCCTGCGCTGGGCTCCCTGCATGGAGCCTCCTTCTGTCTCTGCCTCTCTCTCTCTCTCTCTCTCTCTCTCTGTGTGTGTGTGTGTGTCTTTCATGAATGAATAAATAAAATCTTTAAAAAGTTTAAAAAATTTTTAAAAATATTTATTTAAAAAAGAAAGAAAGAAAACAGACTCAGTTAAAAAGCATCTACCTTCAGCTCAGGTCATGATCTCAGGGTCTTGGGATTGAGCCCCACATCGGGCTCTCTGCTCAGTGGGGCACCTGCTTCTCCTTCTCCTTCTGCCCTCCCCTGGCTCCTGCTCTCTCTCTCTCTCTCTCTCTAATAAATAAATATCTTAAAAAATAAAAATAATATAAATAAGTAAACAGGAAAAAAAAGAAAAGCAGACTAAGAACTTGTCCACCTATGTGATGTGTGGTGTAATTCAAAGGGTGGCAAGATATGTTGGTTCTCTGTACCCCCAACACAGCCCTCCTCCAAGTGATGTGCCTGCGTATCTGACATTCCATCATTAAATATCCACTCCTATTTAGGAATTGAGAATCAACAATTGGTAATTTCACAAATAGAGACAACCAGCATTTAAGTGCCTCCCGATGAAAGGACATGATGCCAGCTATGAGACTATCTTGTGAAAAAGAGCAAACCTGAAGCTAGTATCAAAGTACGGCCACCCCAGGGACAGAGGATATATTAGACTCAGTATGGTGATGCCGTTGCAAAATCCTGACTGGTGGTGGTGGTGGCGGTGGTGGAGAGGGGGAACTCTAAAGAGCAAATAACTGTCTTTTTTTTAAAACAAATAAATTGAAAGAAAAAAGAGAGTCAAACTATAGATTAAGAGACTAAAAAGACAGATCAGCTCATTGCAATTTATGGACCTTTTTTGGATCCCAACTGGAGTAACGTGTAAAAAAAAAAAATCTATGATATGGTTTTTGTTTTTGTTTTTGTTTTTTTTAGTCCATCTTTTAGATTACGGAGCAAGAGAGAAGTGGATGGTGATATAGATGAAATCAGACTGGCAATAAGTTGGTAACTCCTGAGGCTGGATGATGGGAACATAAAGGTTCATTATATTACTGAAATTTCCATAATCAAAAATTGAAAAAATAAAAAGGATTGCCTTTGGGTCACATTTTTGGGGCTCCAATAGGCCTTTTTTAAAATGCAAGCCTTGGGATGCCCGGTGGCTCAGTAGTTGAGCGTTGCCCTTCGGCCCAGGGTGTGACCCCGGGGTCCTGGGTTCAAGTCCTGCATCAGGGTCCTCGCAGGGAGCCTGCTTCTCCCTCTGCTGTGTCTCTGCCTCTCTCCATATGTCTCTCATGAATAAACAAAATCCTAAAAAAAGACCCACAAGCCTTCCCAGTAGATTAGCACATTAATAAAAGATAAACCATTAACATTTTAGCGCCTGATGGTTTCCGGTAGCCGACATGAAATGTTCGCCTTCCTCAACCCAGCCTTTCAGTAGCCTGCGCCCCACCTGCTCTGGGTTCTCCCTCCCTGAACCTTAGCCAGCCCCCCAGCCCCCCTCTCTCCTGCATCCATCCCCTTCTGTTTGTCTCCTACTGCCTCCTCTTCCATCCTCTACTTGGCCAAATCCACCCATCTCGAAAGCTCCAGACTGACGTGGCTCTCCCGAGTGCCCCCCATCCCCGCCTCCAGCACACAGCCCCGCACCCCCAGATGCACCCCGAACAGCCCCGATGCAACCGCAGTTCGCCAACACTCAGTGCATCATGTTAGATCGGGATGGAGAATTCTGGGGTCTTCTCCAACTCAACTCAAAATAGACGTTTTTGGTGGATTGACTATGTGGGTTTTTATATATATATTAAATAAATAAATAAATAAATAAATAAATAAATAAATGAATGAATAAATAAATAAATAAATAAATAGGAATATTTTAAATTTACTTTTTCATTCTAAACCATGGGTTTTTAGTCCTTTCCTTTCCTATGGCCCTCTGTGGTAGCCTGGTGAAGCCTATGAACCTCTTCTCAAAATAGTATTTTTAAATGTATAAAATAAAGTACATATGATTACAAAGGACACCACTGAAATACAGTTATCACAGTATTAAACAAACTTTTTTTTAAGATTTATTTATTTATTTATTCATGATAGTTACACAGAGAGAGAGAGAGAGAGAGGCAGAGACACAGGCAGAGGGAGAAGCAGGCTCCATGCAGGGAGCCCGACATGGGATTTGATCCCGGGTCTCCAGGATCGTGCCCTGGGCCAAAGGCAGGTGCCAAACCGCTGCGCCACCCAGGGATCCAACAAACTTATAATAAAGTCATATTTGCTTCTTAGTGCATTAAATGAGAAGATTCACTGGCAGGTCTAATAACTACTAAAATATTAAAGAAATGATGAGTGTGAAGGATACTCTGGGCTATTTGTACAACTATGTTGTCCTAAGTGACTTCTGTTAGTGACAAAGTCATAGGTATTGGTCTTACTACTGTGGTGTGTTGCCTGCGTTTAGAATTGAAAAAATTACTAATTTTCAGCTAGAGGTTAATGAAAATGTACTTTTTTTTCCTACCCAAGTGCATACCTCCTGGATTTTTATTTTTTAAGTATTATTATTATTATTATTATTTTGCCATTGAATTCTCCTTGGGTCCTTCTGCTTGGGTTGGAGAGAAAGTCTTAGTGCTAGTGTGGCCTTTTTTTTTTTTAAGATTTTATTTATTTATTCATGAGAGACACAGAGAGAGAGGCAGAGACACAGGCAGAAAGAGAAGCAGGGTCCATGCGGGGAGCCCAATGTGGGAATCGATCCCGGGTCTTCAGGATCACGCCCTGGGCCAAAGGCAGATGCTCAACCACTGAGCCACCCAGGTGTCCCCCTTTTTTAAAAAATTCATGAAAGATATAGAGGGAGAAGCAGGCTCCCTGTGGGGAGCCCGATGTGGGACTGGATCCCAGGACCCCAGGATCACAACCTGAGCCGAATGTAGACGCTCAACCACTGAGCCACCCAGGTGTCCCTACCTCCTGGATTTTATCCATAGAAGGTGGGAAGGGGTGTTCATGGACCCCGGGGCAAGAACTCCTTATAATACTAATTTTCCTACCTAAATTTGGAGTCATAATTTTATGTTTGTTGCCTTCAATAGGGCCTCCCAGTGATATCAGCTTTAGGCCCTACAAAACCTGGATCTTTCCTGTATACCCAGACAATGACCACTTGTCACCATCTTCACAGTGAACACAGGGGTGGAGGTAGGGGGCAGGCAAGCCACTGGCACCTTCCATCTGTCACTACCCACCCTCTGGCTGACGCCTCTGCCCCAGGCCTGGTCTGCTCTCCCCTGAGCCTTGACAATCTCTGGGTCCCCTCTGCGGGGTCACTCCTCTGTGACCCCTCCACAGCTTCCCACCTCCCCGGAGGAGGCTCCCCGGGATGCGGCCCCGTCCCCTGTGTTTCATCTCCAGCACCTCCCTCTGCTTGCTCGTCCTGGGAGTTCTGCGTGGCTCCCCCTCCTCTCCTAAGGCCTCAGCTATCCTGCCAGAAAGGAAGGCCTTCCCTAACCAACCACCCAACGGAGCAACCCCGCTCCACGTGGGGTCACCTGCTGACCACACTTACCTGCTGCTGTCTAACCTCCCGGTGCACCCATCAGAGTGAAGTTCCAGGAACCCAGGGACGTGTATTTTTTTTTCTTCTTTTCAGTTTTGGTGTCCAGAATACTCTCCAGTAGGCACTTCATATATATTTGCTGAATAAATTACAAAATAGGAACTCGCATCAGAAGAGACTGGGGGCTTAAAATCTAACAAGAGTGGAAATTTCATCTGGAAAGAAGGAATGCCAGGAAAGGGCCTAAAATTCACATTTCTGTAAAGCAGATGTCCCCCCTCCCCGTGAGGTGTCCTCTGACTTTGTGAAGAGAGTAAAAGGCCAGGCCGCTGGCTTCCCCACGATGCTTGCCCCGGGAGGGACGCATTTCAAGACGTTGGTGGGGGAAGGGACCGTCACAGGGTGATGTTTACAGGTGTTTACCTGTCTGCTTTTGGTGCAGTGCCAAATCTTCTGGAAACATTCAAAGGACACAGACTTTTGGGGGCGACTTGTGGACCCCCCTGCACATCATCCTAGGAAAAATCAAAGACCACAGTTCAGAACCACACCCACGGCCCTGGAGAGGGGGGCGGACTTCCGTGGGCCAGGCGATGGCGGGATCCCTGTCCCTGTCCGTCCTGCCCCCCCCTCTGTTGCGGCCACTCCCCGCCCCGGGACCCCCGCCCCCGCCCCCTGTGCCCGCAGCCCAGAGCGCAGGGCTCCGGGAGCTGGGGTTGGGCAGGACCCGGCTTTCCCCCCAGTGCGGGGCGGGGCCGCCGGGGACGGGACGTGGACAGGGATGGGACGTGGGCAGGGATGGGGACAGGTCAGGACAGGGATGGGGACAAGACGGGGACAGGGACGAGACAGGGACAGGACGGGGACAGGGGCAGGGGACGGGACGGGGACGGGACAGGGACAGGGACGAAACAGGGACAGGACGGGAGCAGGGACAGGGACAGGGACGAGACAGGGACAGGACGGGGACAGGGACAGGGACGAGACAGGGATGGGACGGGAGCAGTGACGGGGACAGGATAGGGACAAGGACGACACAGGGACGGAGGACAGGGACGGGACTGGGGCAGGACAGGGATGGGGATAGGTCAGGACAGGGATGGGGACAGGACGGGGACAGGGACGAGACAGGGACAGGACAGGGACAGGGGCAGGGGACAGGACGGGGCCGGGGACAGGGGACAGGACGGGGACAGGGGCAGGGGACAGGACAGGGACGAGACAGGGACGGGGGACAGGGACGGGACTGGGGCAGGACAGGGATGGGGACAAGGACGAGACAGGAACGGGGACAGGGACGGGGACCGGGGCGGGGGCCGGGGCGGGGGCCGGGCCGGGGCCGGGCCGGGGCCGCGGGGCGGCAGGAGGGCCGGGGGTGGGGAGCGCAGCTCGCTCCGCGCCCCCAGGCCCCCCAGCCCCCCAGCCCCCCAGCAGCGGCTCCTCCGCGAGCGGGCTCCCCGGGCGGCGCGCGCAGGAAGCGGGAGCAGGAAAGCCAAGGCGACGCCGCAGGGCGCGACCGCGGGGGGGGGGGCGCGGGGGGGCGGGGGGAGCCGTCCTGGAGGGGACCGCGGCCGGGAGACCCCGGGGAGACCGCGGGTTGCGCTCCGCTTCCCTCCGGCCGGGACGGGAGCCCCGCGGGAGGAGCCCAGACTCGCTCGGGCTCAGCAGCACCAAGCGCCGGTGGAAATGCACCATGACGGGGGCGGGGGGGGGGATGTTGGGGTGGGGGCGCAGGGGGAGAGAGGGAGGGAGGGAGGGAGGGAGGGAGGGAGGGAGGGAGGGAGGGAGGGAGAGAAGTGTTGCTTCTAGATAGGTCTTTGCAGAAAGATGCCAAACATTCCCTTGGGGATGAAGGGAAATGCTGCTGTTGGTGCGTTAAGCTCAGTCTAATTCTGTTCTATTTTATGCTGCGGACACTGACACGGCCAAGGTGGTCACCCTGAGCTCCTGTGAACCTCCTCTTCCCGAGGGTGTTGACACCTGCCGTGCAAGGTTCCTGTGCATCACCTTGGGATCCGAGGTCTCTAAAGCTCTCTACACATGTGCTGTCACCCTTTTGTATCTTTTTGTGATTATTTAGCCTCCCCTATTCCTGCCCTTTTCTAACCCTCCCCCCGAAAAAAGGCAAAGGCAGGCAAAATGCTGACATGGTGGGGGTGCAGGGTGGGAAGGGAAAACAAACGGACAGTGAATATCTGAAATCTTGCCCCGGGGTCTTCTGGAACCAACCAAAATTAAGTATATAAGGGCAGCTGAGTCAGTAGTTGTCATTCTAGCTCTCAAGAAAAACTTAACAAACTTTTCAAGCACTTCTCCAAGACTTGCCAAGGGAATTAGACTGCGCAGGGAGGCTGCTATGATTTCACCAAAATGCGTACAACCAAGAACTGCAACCCATTAGTTGCGCCACTAGGGTATAGATACACGTGGGGGAAAGAATGAAAAATATCTGCAATAGGTCAAAAAAAGAAAAAGTACTTAGGTGAATTTTTCTTTTTGGAAATCACCGCCCGGGTGCGGCTTCCCTGTTAACCCCCCACCTGGCCACGTACTCCTAGGGCCCGGGGCTCGGGAGGTGTAATTCCTTGGACGCCAGCAGGGGGCGCCCACGCCCGCTTCCTACAAAACTCCAGGGCCTAGTTCGTTCTAAAGACTCGGTGAGACGCAGGTAGCCCCTGGGCTGTTCCAGCGCTTGGGCGGCTCCTCCCGGGAAGGTGGTGTGTGGGATGCACGGCTGGGGACCCTGGGTCCACCGGTGCGAACTGGAAGGTGACTGGGCTCATGCCCACTGTTGGATTTTAAAGTCTTGGGCCTTGTTTTCTGTTGTGGTTTGTTGCTGAGGGGGAGGCTCCGTCTCCCCTCTCTCAACTGGTCCACCTCCCAGGTTCTTGCAGCGGTTCCCCAGCAGTGTGGTTACAGCCTAATGAACAGGTAGGTATGGATGCGGGGGGTGGGGGGGGTGTCCATCCACAGGTGAGTGGGAGCAGCTCCGCAGAATCCAAAGAGCTTCTTAACATGTTCTAAAAGTTAAAAGTTTTTATATTTTGGGTTTTTTTTTTCTTTATTCAGGAGAGAAAGAGAGAGAGAGAGAGAGGCAGAGACACAGACAGAGGGAGAAGCAGCCTAATGTGGGACTCGATCCCAGGACCCCAGGATCCCACAGCCTGAGCCACAAGCAGACACTAAACCACTGAGCCACCCAGATGCCCCTAAAAGTTAAAAGTTCTGGATAAATACTGGGATTCCTTTTATTTTCAAATACCTCTCTGAATCTCCTTAGCCTTGTTTACTGTGACTCACTGTATCAAATATTTATTGCTGTGTAACACCCAAACGTAGTGTTTTAAGACAACAATAAACACTTATTATTATCTGGCAGCTTCTATGGTTTAAGAGCTGGGGCGTGACTCAGCTAGGTAGTTTTAGCTTGGGGCCTCTCTCATCAAGTTGTCAAAATGTTAACTGGGTCTGCCATCATCTGAGTCTGGCTGGGCTGGAGGATCCACTTCCAAGAAGCTCCTTCACATGACTGTTGGTAGGAAGCCTTAATTCCTCACCCCGTGGGTCATCACAGGACTGCTTGAGTGTCCCAGTGAGGCAGCTGGTTTTGCCCAGAGTGAGAGATCCAACAGACAGCAAGCAAGGTAGAAACCACAATATCTTCTAGGACCTAGCTTTGGAAGTCACACACCATCATTCCCTCGACATCTAATGCTTACACAGGTCACCCATATTCAACATGGGAGGGGGACCACCCAAGGGTGTGAATTCCAGAAGGTAGGGATCATCCAAGAGGCCCTTGGAGGCTGTCTACAGCTTGGCTTGTTTTCAGGATGCACATTTAAGGGGTCCCTGGGGGGCTCAGTTGGTTAAGCATCTGCCTTTGGCTCAAGTCATGATCTGGGGGCCCTTGGACTGAACACCAGGTTGGGCTCCCTGCTTCTCCCTCACCCTCTGCCCTTCCCTACCCCACCGTCTCATGCTCTCTCTCCAAAAAACTTAAAGAAAAAAAGAATGTACACTTAAATATCTTTTCAAATGTACGTTTTACCTTGTTTAATGTTATTGAAAATGAATACTTGAACCACTTTTTACATGTGTACCAGAAGGTTTCTTTTCCTATGAGTACAAAGGCCTCCCTCTTCCGGTCTGAAAACAACTCCTGAAGAGGTGTGTGTTGGGGATGTGTGCGTCCTGTCCTTAATAATATACGTATGACATCTCACAACTATAAAAACTGATGTGTTGGGGAGAGATTGTCCACTTTCTGGTTGGGAATATTCTCATTTCTTTCTGCATTCAGACTCTCTAGCAAATGACAAGTTATACTAATAAAATTCAATTCGGGTCACTCAGGGGGAGTTTCTGGATCATTTTTGCTTCATAATTAACAACCCCAAGACTTTTTTTGGTATGACCTGACACTAGCCATTCCTGAATGGTGCCCGGAATGATTCTTATATTCTCTCTTCACAGATGAGGGCTCCAAGGCAGAGAGGTTTTAAGCAAACTCCGAATTGGACAACGGCTGAGAAACTACAGTTTCGACTCATCGCGACCCTGGATGCCATTAAAAAGTTAAGAGAATGACTCTCGCTCAGCAGAGAGCCTGCATTTCTGTCAACAGTAGAGGCTGTGGCCAGGCATCAAGTAGCTCTGTCACTGACCCTCACACGAAATGGATATTGCAACAGTGCCAACAGAGGGTCCTTGGCTTCAGAAACATACCTGTGTGCAATGCCCTTTGTAATGACTATTATTATTATTATTATTTTTAAAAATATATTATTTATCCATGAGAGGCACAAAGAGTGAGGCAGAGACATAGGCAGAGACATAGACAGATGCTTCCCTGTGGGGACCCCATCCCAGGACCCCAGGATCATGACCCAAGCCAAAGGCAGATGCCCAACTGCTGAGCCACCCAGACGTCCTGAGAGACCTGAGTTTAAATTCTCCTGTCACTTCTCATTGGCTGTGTGACTCACGGCACTTTATTTAGTCGCTATGCTTCAGTTCATTCCTCTGGAATATAGAGGTAATTATATTCACCTTGCTGGGTAGTTGTGAGGTGACTGATTGATTGGGCGATTGATCTACCCAAAACATAACATGACATTACATAGGATTTTTCTCTTTAAAAAACTGAATAAACTCTGGAGGAAAATCAGGGCAGTGAGAATATGTGATGTCCCAAATTGAGGTCCCTCACATGCTGGCATTTCAGGATCCCCAGAACCATGGCCAGCTCCCACCTGCTCACCACAAAGCAAAGGCTGTTAGTTGACAAGTCCTGCCCACACACAGAGCTCCTAATCAAACATCCAATTCCCTCACTTTAAAAATGTGACTAGGCAAGAATCATCAAGAAAGCCTTCAGCACAAAAGAGAGAGACAGTTCACAAGAAACAGAAAACAGAAATAATTCAGGGGACAGAAAAGAACATCAACAAACAATACCCTCTAATTAGTATCCTCAGTGAAGAGAAATCCACAAAAGGAGCTTTTATAAAGAATGTCATGAAATAAAAAAAAATCAAAGAACAGAGCTTTTGGAGATGGGATAATTTTAATTCAAAAACCTTCTTAATTGGGGGTGCCTGGCTGGCTCAGTTGTAGAGCATGAGATTCTTGACTTGGGGTCATGAATTCAAGCCCCGTGTTGGGCCTAGAGCTTATTTAAAAAAAATTTTTTTTTAAATCTTTTTTTTTTTTCTTTAAAGATTTTATTTATTCATAGAGACACAGAGAGAGAGAGAGAGGCAGAGGCACAGGCAGAGGGAGAAGCAGGCTCCACGCAGGGAGCCCGACATGGGACTCGATCCAGGGTCCCCAGGATCAAAACCCGGGCTGCAAGCAGCACTAAACCGCTGCGCCACCAGGGCTGCCCTAAAATCTTAATTGAAGGATTGGAGAATTAAAATGGGGCCATTTTTCAGAACACATTTCATTATAAGGCAAAATGAAAAATTGAAAGAAAAGATTAGACACTTAAAGAATCAATCCAGGAACCAACCTCTGATCGATAGTAGCTCAAAAGAGAGAGAACAGAGAAAATGCAAGAGAGGAAATTTTGAAAGAAGTATAACAAATGTTATACTCATCTCATCCCTGAGATGAAGGGATGTCTTTAGACTGAATGCCATATTGAGTGTTGAGCCCAGGAAGTGTAGAAAGCCCCAGACTGGGACCCTTCGGGGATCTCAATGTTTTATAACAGATTTGACGAGGTGTCCTAGCACGGTTCACACTTAGTAGGACATCAGAACCCTGAAGAAAAAAAAAAGCTCCAGTAAAGAAAAATATTAATATTAGTCTCAGGAAGTATACACTCTGTACCAGGAATTCATAGAAGCACTACTCTATTAAATCACTGAATCATTAGCCCTCTGCGTAGGTGTAATCACCATTCCTACTTCACAGACAAGGAAACTGGAGTCACAGAGCCAGCAAATAGCAACAGAGCCAGGTTGGAAACTGGAGCAGTCTACGGGTAGAGCCTGCATCCTTAACCATTACACACCCTGCCTCGCAACACTTCACCCCCAAGGAAGGAGGTGCAGCTTCCCCAGCAATACTGGGTGCGAAAACAAAATGGCCCAATGCCTCAGTATTTCTGAAGAAGATTATTTCAACCAGGAATTCTATCCCCAGCTAAATTATTAATGAAATATGAGGGAGAAAGAAGATATTTTCAGGCATTTCAGAGGGAGAACACTTACTTCCTATATACCCTTTCTTAGGAAGTTAGTTGAGGATGTAATCCTCAAAAATGAAGGGGAAACCATAAAAAAAAAAAAAAGTAGTAAGAGAACTCCCAGAATGACAGACATGTAATCCAGTGTAAAGCAAGATGACCGAAGTTTCCAGAGGGGAAAGAGGAGCTCTATGGAATAGCTAGCATTATTGAAAACTTGAGTGTATGGACAGTCGGCAAATACATGTATGTCTAGATAAATGTATAAAGAAAAGTATGGCTAGATAAAGATACAGAGGGGAAGAAAAAAGATATATTTAAACTCCAGAGGGGCACCTGGCTGGCTTAGTTGGTAGAGTGTGTGACTCTTGATCTTGGGGTTGTGAGTCTGAGCCCCACATTGGGTGTAGAGATTACTTAGAGGCTTCAAAAAAATCTTAAAAAAGAAAAACCCAACCAACTTCAGGAAAACAAAAAGCTCTAAGAAGAAAGTCATGGTCTAGATGAAAAGAGACTGGAAAAGAGGAGGTAGATGTGGCGTAGGTACTGTTTTTGTTTTTCCTCCTAAGTCCTCTGTGCTGGTCGATCTGTTAGCCGCAGACACGGTGCTCTGATGTCAAAATTTTTATTGATATCTAGGTATAATCTTTTTTTTTTTTTTAGGTATAATCTTTTTAAGGAGCTAAGCGTTCATAGTTGAGTGGGTTGAAATAGGGAGAGGCTGATTCCTTCACGCGGTAGTTGATTCTATAGCAAGATTCTGAAGCAAAAACAGAAACAGGCAACCAGAAATAGGAAGGCGGGGAGCACATTTAAACTCCAAAGGAAAGGGCAGCCCGGGTGGCTCAGCGGTTTAGCGCCACCTTCAGCCCAGGGTGTGATCCTGACCCCCCCACCCCCATCGAGTCCCACGTCGTCGGGCTCCCCGCAGGGATCCTGCTTCTCCCTCTGCCTGTGTCTGTGCCTCTCTCTCTCTCATGAATAAATAAATAAAATCTTAAAAACAAAACAAAAACAACAAAAAAACTCTGAAGAAAACTTGCACAAGTAGAAATCTGGCCTTCAATAGGTAGAAATAAACTTGTTCAGTTACCGAAAAAATATCTTTAAAGGCAGAGAAAGGTCACTGCAGGTATATTTGAAACAAATTCATTTGCACACCGTATACACACTAGTTCCTGAAGTAGGAGCTGAACCGTGCTGGCCGTCGGGCCTGGACACACCATGACTGCTACCGCCTGATGCTCATGAAGACACCCACTGCTCCCTCAAGGCAGGAGCCCCCTAACCAGGTGTGGTCGCACAGGGATCCAAGGGCAGGACGCTCAGGGCAGCGCTGTTTACAAAATAAAGCAGAAGAAAACAAAAGCCAAAGCCAGGAATGCCCTAAATGTATGTTAGTAGTGGAGCATTTAAGTAAAATTATGGTACCTCCACATCACAAGTCCCGTGAAGCTGTTAGGAGGACGGGAAGATGCCCACTGTGTATTATGTGAAAGGGGCAATTTGCAGGAGGGTATATAGGATGTGTCTCTTCGTATTAAATACATGAGTTTGTGCATGCTGGAAAATGGAGTTTTATGATTTAAAAAAAAGGAAAAAAACCCCATAATTTGTAAAATAAAATACATGAGGCCTCTTTTGTCATCAGCTTCTCTGGGGAGTAAAGAAGGGCGGCACGGGGGTCAAGGACGCAGGGTGGCAAGGCTGGAAGGCCAGGCAGGGCTGTGGGGAAGCAGCAAGAAGGGGTGCCCAGCGGAGCTCAGCGGCGGGTTGGGGGGATGAACAGGGCCAGCGCATCTGGGGGCCCAGGGCCTAGTGGGCGCCCATCCTGCTGGCCCACCTTGGGGGGTGCTCACACCCACAGGCATGGCTCCCGTGTGCTGAGCGCCCCCTCAGTGGGCACCCGCGCCCACCGCTTGGGAGGCCACGGGAACGAGCCCCTTTCGTGCTGGGACAGAGCTGACAGCGCGACTTAGAGAGCAGGTAGCGGGCCTTGGCTCCCTCGGCCGCTGCGAGCCTGAATCCCAGAGTCGGAGAGCAGATGCCAACTTCTACGAGGGGCCTAACCGCTTACTTGTCCCACAAATGACTTATTTTAATCAATTACTTAATTAATTTTCTCTTACCCGTTTTTTACGCTTTGCCGCGGTGGGAACCGATGCAAACGGGAAACATGTCCCAGTAGGTTGCAGCCCCCCGGAGCTTGTGGGGGCAGCTTGTCCAGGCAGGTGACAAGCACAGGGACTGATGTGAGCTTTGGGGGGCACAGGACATGCAGGGGGGTGAAGGGGGCGGGGAGAGAAACCAAGGCAGGGGAAGAGCGGAGGTTGGACACAGACACTGGAGGAGAAAGCTGCGAGGAGCTAGAGGGGAGAGGAGGGGGAGGAGGGGGAGGAGGGGGAGGAAGAGGGGAAGGAGGGGGGAGGGGGAAGGGAGGGCCATCGTTTGGCCTGGGCCCTGCCTGGGCCCCGCAATGCCCTCCCACAGACCCAGGGGCGCGCTTTCCCAGCACAGGGGGCCGCACCACCTACACTCCCTGTCCGCGCTGCTGCCCGCAGAATCCCCGCATCCGGTCTAACCAGCCACCTGCACTTCCACTGCCACCACCTCCACCTCTACCCCCACTGACACCACCACCTCTACCACCGCCACCACCACCACCTCCACTGGCACCTCCACCACCATCACCACCACCTCCACCTCCGCCTCCACCTCCACCACCTCCTCCACCTCCTTCACCTCCACCACCACCACCACCTCTACCTCCATCTCCGCCTCCACCTCCACCTCCACCTCCACCTCCACCTCCACCGCCACCTCTACCTTTACCTCCACCTCCGCCTCTGCCACTGCCACACCTCTCTGATGGTTTGGATTTACTGCCAAACTCCTTCAACCGTAACTCCCCTGGCTCATCTCACCCTACTCCACCGTGGCCCTGACCCCTATCTCCAGGCCGCCGTCTCTAGCTGGATACCTTCCGGTTCAGGCCCTGACTGCAGGTTCCCACGCAAGTCCAAGTAGACGTTGTCAGTGCATTTCCTCCATCAGTCTACAGCGAATAAATCAAACACCGTCATCATCATTTCATCTGGGGCCTTCTCCTTCGTTCCCCCTGTGGGTCGCTAACTGGTTCTTTCTTTCTTCAGGACATCTTCCTCCTCTCCCTGTCCGTTTCCATCTTGGCTCTCAACTTTGGTTATCGCATCCGTTCATCTACTTGACGAAGATTTATTAAATGTCTCTCGTGTGCCAAGCACTGTGCTGGATAGAGAGTCATCAGCGCTCGTTCCAGATTCCATCGTGGCAGCCAGAGCAGCAGACACAGGGCCTCCACACATGACAGGGGGTGTCCCCCGCCGCCCCTGGCCTCCTGCACTCCTGCTGACTGACCGGGCAGGCAGTCTGAGCTTCAGCACCAGTTCCGACCACACGCTTCCTCCCCAGGGTCTGGGAGCTGCAAGTAGTGCCACTACCGCATCATTTTCCTGTTGCCTGTGAATGGTCCCTCTAGCGCATTTCTAGAAAGAGGAAACTTAAAATGTCAGCAAGAAGGACTCTTGCAAATCCCCTTTGGGCCTGTTTCCTGGCAGAGTGACACCACTGAGGACAGGGCTCCTGAAGCATGGAGATTTGAGAAAGACAACCGAAGGGACACGGCCATCGCCAGGTTTAGCAGGTTTCGGAAGCTCGGTACTGGTACCGAGTCAGACTCGGAACGCGGTGTTGTGCAGAGTGTGAGCTCAGTGCCTGACTAGCCTGTGGTAAACGGGAACACCCTGGAATGGGTGCTCAAGAAATGGGCACTGATGTGGGACTCAATCCCGGGTCTCCAGGATCACGCCCTGGGCCGAAGGCAGGCGCTAAAGGGCTGAGCCACCCAGGGATCCCTCAACAATCATTAATTTGGATACTTCCACAGTCTCATTTCTTTACATCCTTCCAATTTCTTTCAAATTCTAGGCAGCGGGGCCTGAAGCAATTTTGCAAGGCCTCAGACTTCCCTCCATGCAGGTGGCCAAGAGCCGTGAGGGTGATCGCTAACCTCTCAGCCCAGCACATCCGTCCCTTGCATCTCTCCACTCTGAGGGATGAGCGGTTTCTTCATCCTTCATCAAGTCTCTCTGCTGCCAAGTGAGAGGACAGTGCCAGGTGCCCCGAGAACTCGCTGACACTCCTGCGGGTCTCAAGGAGCTGCTAAATGTCCTTTGTCAGGTCCTCGAAAAACATGCTTGAACGGCAGCCCCCAGGCCGACCCACTGCTGGCTTTCAGCTGCAGAGCGCGGTTTTCCGCCAAGCCCAGCTCTGAGGTCAGTCCCAGTGTTTTCAGCCCGCGTGCTAGCATTGCGACTCAACCCAGTTTAAATTAACTTGGCAAGGGAGCTTTCATGAGCTGTGCCATCACCACCCTCTCCTAGCCCAAAAGTAGATCTTGTGTAGGTGTAGTCTCCACTTTGATAAATGACGGAGTTGTGCACTCGTGTTATCTGAGGATGGAAGGCGGCGAGTGGTTGTTTGCAAAATAAGGTTTATTCATCATTGAAAGAAGTCTGGAACGAGTTCTCCTGTCAAGCTGGCTCAAGGCAGGAGAAGCCGACTGTTGCACCAAAACACACATGTGCCCAGAGTCCTCGTCATCCCACCACCAGGTGAGGGCCTTGCTGGCTCCAGGAGGTCTGAGGTCTGCCTCTCGTGCCGGGCCCGGTAAGGACCCTGCGCGTCACCTACCTCTACTTCACACGGCTCCGTACCCCAAGGCACGGGGGGCGCGGGGGTGCGATGGACAGTGTCTGCCCTGCAAGGAACGGCCGTGGAGAGGCATCGTCTCCATCTATTCCTAGTGCTCTTGTCCCCTCCGGGGTAGGAGCCAGTCCTCGGGCAGGGACATCAGAGCAGACACTGCAAGAGAAGAAGCCGGGGCACCGGAGAGCCCAAGGGACTGGCCTAGGGATTCTGAAGGCTAAGTTTACACACACTGGGGCACCGAGTGCTGGCTTCCTCCTCTCGTTGTCTACACCAGGACACTCACCCCAAGAGGAAAAGGGACGGGGGTGTGTCATGGGCTGCTTGCCAGCTCTGGTGACCCTGGGGTGAGACCCGGCCTTGGGGTACCCAATCCCAGAGCTCTAAACTAGCACGAGGGCTCTAGGGCTGGCCAGTATTTACCTTCGTGCTTTTCCCCCCAAACTGCAGTCACTATTCGGTCTGTTTGGTAAAGACAATCGCCATCATCCAATGTTGCTTCTTCTCTGTCCTCAGCTTCTCATCCCTGTTAACAGCTTTCGGCCCTTTCCCGCGAAACGGCAAGAGGAGGAGAAACACAGGCTACTGTTATCACTCAGGGCAGCAGCCCTGGAAACAGAGTCAACGAGAAACGTCTATTGAGTGGATGCTACGTGGCAGGCCCTGAGCCACCTCACAAACTGCTCGCTCCCCCCACCCCAGGCCCTGCTGGGGACAGGTATCCCTGCCCGTCCTCGGGTTCCAGGTGACGGCACGGAGGCCTCACGACGCTCCAGCTGCTGGGGTGGAGTCAAGCTCGGGGGCTCGGTGTGGGCTGTGGGGGGTCATACGCGACAGGTACATACCACTGTGCATCAGGGAAAGCCTGGAACCTCCGGACAAGTGGCTCCTGGCCAGGAAACCACCACCACCCCGGTGATTCCTTCTGCCGTTGAAAACGTTGATGGGTGTGATTGCTTCAGACCTGCTTGATGGCCAGAAATAACTTGGGGAGTGGGGGGTCAGCCCCGGTGGCTCAGCGGTTTAGCGCCGCCTTCAGCCCAGGGCGTGATCCTGGAGACCCGGGATCGAGTCCCACGTCGGGCTCCCTGCATGGAGCCTGCTTCTCCCTCTGCCTGTGTCTCTGCCTCTGTGTCTCTCATGAATAAATAAAATCTTTAAAAAAAAAAAAGAAATAACTTGGGGGTGTCAGGGACGCCCAGTGGGGCTCGGCCGGTTAAGTGTCTGACTCTTGGGTTTGGCTCCGGTCATGATCTCAGGGTCATGGCATCGAGGCCCACATCGGGCTCCTCACTCAGCAGTTTGCAGGAGGTTCTCCCTCCCCCTCTGCCCCTCCGCCTGCATGCTCACTCGCTCTCTCTCTCTCTCTCTCTAATAAATACATCTTTAAAAAAACCAAAACCTGGAGCTTTACAGGAATATAGAGCTGGGGCCCCTCCCGAGGGATGCTTCAGTGCCCCCCGGGGAGCGCCCAGCCCTCCGCATTTCACTCCCTGGCCCCCGGGATTCTGGGGACTTGGGGGCACGGAGAGTCCCGGGCTGCAGGGAGGCCGCAGCTCCGCCACCATCAGGCCGCGGGGGGCGGCTGCAGGCTGGGGACAGAGGCGGCTGCCAGATTCCCTGAGAAGCTGCCGCTCCCACGGCCACGCGGGTTCTTTCCCCTGACGCGGCCTCGAACGCTGTTCCTCCCTTCTGTAGGGGGGTGGTCCACCTTCCCCCGGGAATCCTAGGAATTCCAGGAACTCTAGAAGTGGAAAGGCCTTTTTCCCCCTACATTTTCACCCACCCCTTAGGATCCATGGGGGGCCTTCCCCCCAGGGCTCTATTTCTTCAGTTGGGGACCTCAAGGCACAGAATCATACAGAAACAACAGGGGGGCGCCGCCCTCGGGTGGAGCTGGAGGCGCTGGGGCTGCTCTCCGGGTGCCCAGTCATCAGCCCTTCTTCCACCGGAGCCCCCCCCCCCCCCCCCGCAGCTGGGCCTGCCTCCCGTGCTTCTCCCCACCCATCAGGTTAGGGGTGGGCCCTGACCAGGACGGACAGCCCTCCGATTCCCCTGGGAAATCTGGTGACGGGACCCAGAGCTAGTCAGCTGTGGGAGGCCGAGGGGCAGAGCCGGGGCGACTGGACGCCGGAGCTGGCCCCGTGCTAAGACAAAGCAAGACGCACGCTGTGGTCCGAGGGGCCCGATGCCTGCGGAGGCTCCACGGAAGCCACGGTTAGTAGGACGGGGCGGGCAAGAGCTGGGGGGCAGCTGCAGGAGCCCAGGTGAGCGCAGTAGAGCAACCCCTCCAGGCTTGGGAGGCGGGCCAGACGGGGGGCCGGGCCCCGGCTTAGAAGCCCAGCCTCTCAAAACCAGAAAGGACGTCGGGGTTCATCCTTGGCAACCTCTCCCCTAGGACGGACCCTCTCTTTCCCGCTCACCAGCTTCTCCTAGGCCGCCACAAATTTCTCCTCCAGACTACTGGGGACAGCAGCTGACCTAGGTGGCAAATGTAAGCATTCGGTGTGCCGGGGAACG